CGGGCTGGGGATTCGAACCCGCCACCTTAGGTGTATGTGGCTGGCGCCTTAGCCGCTTGAGCCACAGGTGCCGAGCCGGGCCTTTGTTAATATTGATTTATTGCTTTAAGAAAACACTAGCCTTTTCCAGTTAAGTGATAAAAAATATGTAATAAGGAGTTATTTGACTTAGAGAAAGAACAATTATAGTGTTCTAAGTAGGATACATTTTTTCATCTGATATAGCCACTCATTAAAATAAGTTTTTCTTTTTAGTGGTAATCTGAATAATTTTACCCATTTGAGTTTACTATATTTTATTATGCAACCAGGTTGCTTTTTCCAATTTAGTGATTGTTTTCAAAAACCATTTACATTTATTAAAAAATGGATCAAAAGATTGTCATTTTGGTGACGAACATGTGAATGTCTTCCTTTATATGAATGTCTTTGTTCTATGTTTTCTGTTTTCCTTAAACAAAACAAGATAATTATATATCACCATGTGATGTATAATTTCACCATAATTTTTGGAGAACTGTTCATACTGATGTAGCTGGACTGTCTGTGTAATAGATGATACCATTTTGAAAAATCCTATTTGTAACATGAAGAATATTAAATAGAAACATTTCTAAATGTCAGATAAGGAAATACTTTTCAGTGGAAAACTTTAGGATCTAATTATGAAAATACAATACATGATTAATATATGTTAATATGAATTTGGCTGTCATGGTGTAATCTACAATTTTAAAGCAATTGTAAGAAAGTTAGGAGGAGATTGCTTGAAAAGTGGTTATCAGTGGGCAGCCTCCTTCAATTCCCTTCGACTGTCCCTTTTGGCATTCCCTGTTGCTATTCAAAAATCATAAAAATTGCCCTTGGATAAAGAAATTACAATTTTTTCACCATTAAGGACTGGTTATTTCAGCAAAGTACAAAGCCTGATCCATCACTAGCAAACAGTCTTCAAAGCCAGTCCAACAATTTAATTTGCTGATGACATGGATTTCTTGAGATTTATTTAACACTGAATAACACTTGTTACTCAAAATTTGGACACAATTTATTAGACAAAACTACCTCATTAGACAAAACTTTTTAGCCAATGTTTCATTTTGGGCATTCTACTGTAGATAAGTATGGTAGTTTAGAGAATGTGTGAATGTCTATGTATGTGTTTGAGAACAAAGATCCATGCTGAAATTATAAAGTGATAAAGTACAGTTTAGTAATTCAAACTAGAATTTGGCTGGGATTCAGGAGGGATTACTATTCTCCCTGTAAATTGACAGTGAGCCTTTTAACAAAATGTAGGTGCTCACAGTTTGCCAGCAATGAATAGACTCACAGCATGAGAAAACAGGAAATATTATCCCAAATGTTTACACAGGGTGTTAAATAAAAACTACTAAGGTAGAAAGTTCAATGCTTTACATAGATAATAAACTATGCATATTATTTTATTTGTAATCCCATATGTTAAGGGGCACTGTGAAGGTAACAATCACTTTTAAAAAGTAACAACCAATAAACCAGGATTTAACTTGGTATTTTAAATCAATAATTAAAAATCAAATGAAACCCCCTCTAAAGTAACTTAAGTAATAACAAAACCCATCAAATTCAAGCTCTACTTATTGGAAATAGGATAATTTAATATGGGGTAACTTAAAATGTACCTGTAGAGATAGAATAAAGGTATACATTAGCAAAATATTAAGTAAGATTTTTCAGGGAGCCCCTAAACTTATGTTTAAGAACTTCAGAACTCATTCTGTATATGCAAAAACTGATTAGCTACAAATTTCTTTCATGTTCATTCATACATGACATTTTGAAGCAATGTATTTGTATTTCACCAGCAAAATTCATGCCAATAAAATATTTCAGAAACATTGTCCCCCACACATTTCATTAATTTGAAATAGTCATTCGAATGAGTAGTCTGAATTTCTATTAAAATCTAAGCCTTTAATGAAGATACGTTTCTGCAAATAAGGCAATTTTTCTATAATCTGCTTATGAATAGAAAAGAAATCTTTGGTTATTTTGTTAAAGTGGTAGGAAGGATTTTGCAAAAAGAAATACTAAAGAACCAAAGCAATTAAAAAGTTCTTAGTAAGCAATGGGAAACTCCAAACCCCATCAAGGTCAGTAGAGTACCTAAGGCACCTCAGGTTCAGATGAGACAATCATCTTTGCTTAGAGCTGTAGTCATCTGTGTACATGATTCTTACCACCTTGAGAATGTGAAGCTGATAAGGAAATGTCTAACAATGGTTATTGTGAATAAGAGAGAATCATGAGTTGGTAAATGGGACACACAAAGGAGATCGCCTATCCTACCTCCCTATTTATAATAAGATGAGGAAACAGGCCCAGTCAAGAAACAGGTGGCAGCAATTTGTAGTTCCAGATTCCTAGTCCCTTTCTCTTAGGGCAGAACAAATTCTAGATTTTAACTTTCATTGGCCAGTAAACCAAGGGTGAAGGGTTTCAGAGATGTGAATTTGGGAAAAAAAAATCCCCATCAAATCCCCACAGACAAGTTAGAAATGTATAATACTTTACTGTCTTAATTCCTTTTTACCATGTTAATTGATTTATACAATTCCTTTAAATTCTACCTAAAAATAACAGACCAAAATTAAATAAGTTACATAAGATTCTATTTGAGCATACATAAGGCCATGATACTTAATGTGAACCACCATTTCTTGGGATAAAGACATCCAATGTCCGATTCAGAGAGAAAGCTTCTGAACAGTTATCCACTGACTCCACTCTTGAATGGAAAAGACTGAAAATGCTAACATTTTTAAAAAATCTCTACAAAGCTTACATACAACAAGACAGTACAATCCTAGATTTGTGACTGATATGAGCATTTAAGGCTGTCATTTTCAAGTATAAAAGTTTAGTGTTCCATTACCCAGTCTGTGCAATAGACAAAGCTATAAGCCCAAGTCATGGAAATTAACAGAAGCCAACACTGATGCAGAGTAATCATAATTTAGGCAACAGCAAGTTGGGAAGGCTGGGAAAAAAAATTCTGGATTAGATTATCCTTTTCTCGACTGCATTAGTTTGTTCACACTGAAGTTTTCTCTAACACTATTGTCTGTTGCATGGTATTTGGAATACAGCAGATCCACAGCAGACCAAACAAAGAAGCTGAATTAGGTAACAGAACTAGTAATGAAGGTGGTTCACCTTTAACACAGTTCTTTGGCCTCTTCCCCCAGAGAAAAATTAGAAATGGCTCCAGAATACCAGATAAGCTTCACATATAAATGTGAAAGTTTGTCTCCCAACTGTTGTTTTTTTTTTCTTTTTTAATTAACCTGAGTCCTATAACTAGGGACCAGCATACACTGCTTGTGGATGAAATAAATCAACATTACTTCTTGCTTGATGTAAAATCTTGAAACACAACAGGGCTGAAGAAAACTGGTATCTGGAAGCCAGTATTTTGTTTAACTTGCACTCTAGGTGTGTACGTAAGTTGTAGTTCTAGAACTTCTGCCATGGTTCCAACATCTGTATTTGAAAGGTGGAAGCAGCTGCTCTGTTTTAAATTCCACATAACATGCTTGGATTCTAGGTGTTTCCTCTTTAACACAATTTAAAGAAAGTTTCTTGTGGTTTGGTCGGCATACACACTTCTAATTTCATTTGATGTACACAGCCAATGTAGGAATTAAGGAAGAATTATGAGCTAGTTCAGAAAGCTAAATTGAATCCAGGATTATGGCAAAATCGAACCCCAAATGTTAATTTGTAATTTTAGCATGTATGTCATGCACTCTGGGGAGCATCAAACTAAATCTACAATTGCCAGAAGCCTTGTTACAATTTAATGCAGATTAACTAAAAGTGTACACTTTTTAGTGTTCATGATAAATGCAGTTATGATCTTATTACACTTTTGGCATTCTTTAAGAAAGCACATTAAGCTTTAATATAGAAATATTTAGGTTACACTTAACTTGTGCTCAAGTAATAAAACATTTGTTCTCTTTTGATCTCATACATTCTCTCCTCAGGTATGGCCCATCTCCTGTACACTTGGAGCAACCTTTGGCTACGTGGCAGGCCTTCTTATTTCACCACTGTGGATATACTGGAATAGAAAGCAACTTTCATACAAGAACAATTAATTGGAGCAAAGGGAGAAGATATTTCTTTGTGCAGATTCCATATGGGCTGTGCGGAAATGTATATGGTCAAAGGCAAGCAGTTCCATTTACAGCACTGTTTTTTATGTGGTTACGTGATGTGATTGTAGCTTTTTAAACTATGAAACCCCTGAGAGATTGTACCTTCTAGTTGAAATAAAGTATTTATAATAGATTGTGGCTTCAGATGCTGTTTACTGCTTCTTAGACCTTTGAGAAACATTCTTAATGAACTTTATAGAATTCTGAGGACAGGTTTTTTGTTTTTTTTTTTTCAAGTTTTAAACTGCTTCATTATGTATAAGAGGTCTGGGTATAGCTGTAGCATTTCATATGCCTTCTGAGAGAAATAAGACAGTTTTCTTGGCCACTGAAGATGTTTCTCACGTGATCAAACAACTGTTTATACATCTTGATCCTATTCTTTTTTTTACTGTGTGTTTCTTTGGAGTTAAAATGGCTATGATAGCCTCATCAAAAACAGTCTTCAATCCCTTCTGGGTTAAAGCTGAACATTCCACATAGCAGCATGCTCCTATCTGGGAGGGAGGGAAAGAAAATCACAAATATATAAAATCTTTTTTATACAATTAGTATGATACAAACACATCATTATAAGGAAGATTATGAAATACAGCTACGCAAAAAAGAATAACATCATCATCCATATTCATGATCCCCCAGAGATAGCCAACTAGTAAAATACTAGCAATGTCCTTCCAAACTTCCCATGAAAAATTCTTTCATTCATCAAATATGTATTAGGTATCTACTGTATGTCAAGCACTGTTGAGGTGCTGATATATCAATGAACTGAACCGAAGAGCCAAATCCTTGCTGTGTGGCACTTAGATTTGCTTACATGATACTGGGCAGAGGCACGTGAGGAGGGAATATAGAGCAGATGACAGCAAATGCTATGGGTAAAAACTGAGGGAGCTGGGGGAGTGCTGAGGGCAGTGGTGGTGGTCGGAGAAGGCATCTCAGAGAAGTATCAGCAGTGAGTGACACCAAAGGAAAGAGCCCCAGGAAGATGGGGTGACAGATGCAAAGACTCTGTTGTAGGAGCATGCTTGTTAGAATGAGAAAGTAGAATCTGAGCCAAGACCCGAAAGAAGTGAAAGAACAAATAATGCCCACATAGGGAATGACGTTCCAGGCAGAGGGAGCAGCAAAGGTATAAAGGCCCTGAGGTAGGACTTTGGGGAACAGCAACAAGGCCAGTGTGCTTGAGTACATGACCCAGGCAGGGCATAACAGGTGCCTATAGGCCAGTGGTGCTCAACCTTCCTAATGCTGTGACCCTTTTATATAGTCCCTCATGTTGTGGCGACCCCCAACCACACTGTAGGCTGTAGGCTATGATACAGGCATCAGCCTTTACTCAGATTGAGCTGGGGACCCACTGGAGAATTCTGGGCGGAGCAGGGACCTGATTGGGCTTACATTTAGGACCTAACTGTGGCTGCTTGGTTGAGAACAGGGCACAGACAGAAGCAGAAAGGCGAGTTGAAAGCTGTAATCCAGGCAGAGACGGAGGAGCCTGAACCAGGTGGAAGGAGGAGAGAGTGAGAAAAGAAGAGACTGGACTCTGGGTGTGTTCTGAAGGAAAAGCGATCCATTTTGCTGAAGGGTTGGATGTGTGTTATGAGAGAAACAGAGGACTGGCTTGGAGGGTAAAATTAGGAATTCTATTTTGAACACGTTAATTTTGAGATGCTTGGTCACCCAGATGGACTTGTTAAGTGAACAACTGGGTAAGCAAGACTAGAGTTTAGGGAAGAAAGAAGTCCAGACTGGATAGAAAAATCTGGGAATCTTCACTTGTAGACTGTTCAAGCCACAAGAATGAAAGAAACTCACCGAGCCCTAGGGATTGGCTGTGGCTATAAAAGAAAAGACTTCCAGAAAGCTGAGTGCTGACTTGGCCCTCAACACTCAGACACCAGGGAGATGAAGAGATGGAGGAGCGAGCTGGTTCAACAAGGAACCACCTGTGCCAAATACCACTGCCAGGTCTAGAAATGGGATCACCTTGCTCTGCAACTACTCTTTTACTTAAACTACATAATAAACAGAAATGTCTTAATACATACTTTAGTATGAATTTTTAATAGATGCAGGATTTTTTTGCCATTATAAACAAGGCAGTATCTTTGTAGCTATCTAAGCACAACCCTAATAATTTCCTTTTTAATTGTAAATTGACAAAGGAGAAATATATATGGAGTACAAAGTGATATTGCTATATACAAAGTAGAATTCATTGAGTCAACCTAATTAATGTAACTATCACTTCAGATACTTATTTGTGGTGAGAACAATTCTGAAATATGCAATGTACTATTATTAACTGTAGTCACCATATTGTGCAATGTATCTCATCTAAAAAAATCTTATTCCCCCCATCTAACTGAAACTTTGTACCCTTTGATCACATCCTAATCATTTGCTTAAGTTAAATTCCTACATATGGAATTGCCTGATCAAGTGTCCATGATTTTAATGCTTTTGCATGTTGTCAAGATTGCTTTGAAATAGTACAAGAGAGTGCCCATTTCCCTGTACCCTTAGAATATTAAGTATTTTAATTAATTTTTCATTTTTTGCCAGTATTATGGTGGAAACAGAACTTACATTTGACTACTAAATTAAGTATGAACATATTTCCTATTTTCAGTGGCAATCTGCAGTTTTGGGGGTGAATTCTCTGTTGATGTTTTTAACCCATTTTCTATTGGGATTGTATGTCTTCTAAAGGTTAACTCATATGCAAGGCGTTCTGGTATATTAAGAATGTTAATCCATCTTCCTGCCATACATATCAAGTTTGTCATGTGATTTTTACTTTTTTAATAGCCATTGATATAGTATTAGACCTTTATGTAGTTAAAACATCAATATTTTCATTTATGACTTTTACCTTTATGACATCTAGAAGTCCCTTCTCTCTCCAAGATTACAAAATTGAATATATGGAATTTCTAAACTAACTTGTTATGAAACCATTTACTTTTTGCTTTAAGAAAAACCGTCCTCCAGAAAGTTTTGACGCTTTCGTCTGCCTCCTAATAGTATGTTTTAAAAGTTATTAGGTTGTGTTTCTAAAAGGCCCTATGAAAGTCACATTTAAAAAACAGAATCCAATAACATTAGAGCCAAACAGAGAAAAAAATAAACCTGATTTTGGGGTCGGGAAAAATGTATGTTAAAAGGTATTATGTGTATTACTGTTACATATATCTCTATAAGTTGACCACCCAAGGGACTATAACGAACTGGTCAAAATACAGAGGTGGCCAACATAAGAAACTAGGCCTACTATACTGATTGGTACAAATGTGGTATATGCCTGGTCTATGAAAATTGGGTCAATTATGGAGGGTCTACTGTATTTTTAAAATGCTAATATTTTCTATTTTCCTTTCATAAAAAGATTGGAGGAAACTGAACACATTTCTTTTTAAACCTAGCCATAATTGTTTGGTTTTAACCACAACTTGTTGTCCTATGTTGCTCCACTCTCTAACACAACGAGTCTTACCTAAAGACAGAGGCTGATTTGGCACAGTGTAAATGTTTAATTGAGAAGGGCTGAAAGTTATCTGCACAGTTTCTGATGCCTCTTTCTAGATGTGACTTTTTTGGAAAATACCATTGGCAGTGAATCAACAATGTAGGAGCCTAGGCCCTGGAGTCAAGCTTTGGAATGAAACCTGTCTCTGCTGTTTATTACCCGCTGGACCTTGGGGAAATTACCTGACACCTCCAAGCCTCCATTGTCTCATATGGAAATGGTCAGACCTACCTTGCCCAGTCAGAGCAAGGATTAAAACCCTAATGCATGAAAAACACTTAGCACAGTGCCTGGCATACAGTAAATGCGCAATAAATGTTAGCTTCTATTATTATCTTAGCTTTCTTTACATTTATTTTTTAATTCTGTAAATGTTCTATTACCTCTTTTGCTAGTTTCTGTCCTTGTTCCACACATATAGGTTTTTCTTTCATATCATTCAGTCTTGCTAAAGTTTTGGGGTCATCTCGGAGATCAATCTAATTAAGAAAGGTCAATAATGTCCCATAATATTATAAGTCTTTAAAGATAAAACATGTAATCCCATTTAATCCCCACCTACCAAAAAAAAAAAAAAAAGCCTAAACAAAAGAACTTAATTTCTGTTTTTTAGGATTGCAAGAAAATTTATGTATTTTTTTTTTAATTTCAGAATAGTATGAGGGTACACATGATTAAGTTACATTCTTTGCGTTTGTTAGGTAGAGTCCAAGTTGTAGTTGTGCCCCTCGCCCAGGAGGTGTGCCGTAAACCTTTACACTGTGTCCATTAGGTGAAAGTACACCAATCCTCTTCCCTCCTCCCTCCCACCTCCCTCCTCCCCAAAGAACTTAATGTTTAAAAACCAGTACTATACATGCTTTCTTTTGGTACTATGTTTTCCAGAAACACAGTGAAACTTAGAGCTGAAATTAAACACAACATTTGCAAACCTTGGACCATTTTTCTGAGATCAACCCTCCACAATAGGCCACAGAGTTCTTTTCTTTTTTTGTTCTTACAAACCTGTTTAACTTTATATAAACCAGTGGTTTTGAAGCATGTTTGCACACTGAATCCCTTTTAGAGTTTATTCTTAAGTGGGGAAAATCAAACCAGACATACCTGAGTTCCTATTAATAAAAAGGGTACATTTGGTGCGTATTCCTTAAGCTCTGGTACCCACTCCTCTTTGACATTTTGAAATGAGGCTGGATTTACCACAGAGAAGCAAATAAGGAAGACGTCGGTCATTGGGTAAGATAAAGGCCTCAGACGGTCATAGTCTTCCTAAGGAACAAAGAAAAACCTCATAACATATTTACGTTTACGTGTCTCTAGTTTTAATAACATGTACATCAGATTACATGGTCAAAAATGCAAATGCAGGACTACTCCCCAGATGGGACGTACAGCCCTCCACGTGAAACAAGGTAATTCCGTTTGTCAAAATAGGACACTACTATTAGCAACTACGGTGCAAACTTTGAGAAAATACATTGTGATCACTAACACTGCAACTAGAAACATTTTTAAATGCAAAATTTGCATGAAGAATTGAGTATAGCTAGATGTAGAATCATCATTTATAATAACTAATATATACTGAATGTTTACTGACCTATATGGCCTCTCATGGATTACTTATCTAATCCTGTAACAACGTACCCTTATCTCTGTTTTCCATGTGAGTAAACTGAGGCACAAAAGTTAAGGAGCTGTGGACAACAGCCAGTTAAGTAAAGGAGCTGGGTTCAAACCCTGGCACTTCCTACTCCATAAGCTCTTGATCACCAAACAGCTTCAAGCTTTGCTTTCTTTGCTTAGAGAGTTTTCTTGATTGTGTGTATGTATAAAATTCTAAAGACAGAAATGTAGTGACTAAAATCCACAAAAATCCCCCTTTTTTCCCCAGCTTTCACTCCCTTTCCCAATTTTTTCCGCATGTATCCTGCTGGTTCTTCTCCTATGCATGGATAACATATACCTACAACTGTACACATTTGTACACATGTGCTCAGATGAAATCATGCCATACCTGTTGTTCTGCACGTCCCTTAGAGATTTTTGGAAATCAGAGTATGTTAGATTTCTGGGTTATTTTCAACTGCTGCTTCATATTCCACAGAACAATTGTACTCTGATGGCTCTTAAGCCTCTCTTATCACAAAAGGCAGTGAATGTCCTGTTTTGCACAGACCATCTTTTCTGACACAAAATTCTGCTGATTTACATTCTAGAGAGTGAGCAGAGTCAGGATTCCATTTTTGGCTCGGGTAGACTCTCGTCTGGTTTCAAGGAAACTTTATTTTTAGCCGAGGCCACCTCCCCTCTTAATGACCGGCTTCACTCCTAGAACTACACGGGGTGTGGAACTCAGGGAATATTTAAAAACTTCCTCTACCTAGAGTTTTTGCAATACTATTTCCCTTATGGAAATTTTCTTTTCACATCATCTGACACTTTTCTTAACGTAACTTTCAAGTCAAGCATACTCATGTCTCAGTGGTTTTAACCCTTTCATTTTTCTGTGCTGCTTGCGATAGGCACCCCTATCACCCGGAGCTGTGGGCGCTGGAAGACGTCACAGGTGTTGGCTATCACAGGACAGGAGGGGAAATGCCATCCCCCATCTTTTGCACTTTTTATTCTTAAAACTGGAGGGTTCTAAGTGGTTTTGTCTAAAGCAGTACTTTCAGGCTAAGAAATCAGTCATGAGGCAATCAAGGAGAGCGGGTATAAACCAGGCTGCAGCCCAGCCAGTTCTACAAGAAGAGTACTATCAAAAACCCAACATGTTTTTAAAAATCACTAGGGGTTAAACAGTATGACGGGATGCATTAAACTTATTTTCTGTACTCTACTGCCTATTTCAAACTGCAAGTCTATGAGAAAAAAGACAGAGACTGCCCGTAATCCTCACGTCCTACCCATCATCAGCTGTGCTTCTGAGCAAACCTGCAGTTGGCATGCTGTTCTCACTAAAAGCCACCACTCCTCATGCACATTGAGATTTCCAGCTCTTTCAGGAATAGAAATAGGGAAAATATCCCATGAGATTATGAGGAATAAATGAATTAATATGACTAAAGCACTCAGCTTAGCACCTGGCATATAAAAGAAGTCTTCCAATGCTTCACCAGAAAGCCTATCCTATGGGAAACTGATTCTCCTGTCCCTCTGCAAACCCAAGCAAGATCCCATGTGTCCCACGCTAGACCTGGCTTTGCCATCTCCCTCCAACCACAGAGAAGAAACTTCAGTGAGAAATAAAATTTTCTACATTGGCATCAAAATAAATGAAACTAAACTCTCTTGAGGGAAGTAAAAATTTCAGATTAATAAAAGAGAATCATCTATTATTGCTGTGCTAATTAGTCACTTTGGAACTCAATATCCTGAAGACTATTTAAAATGTAACAAAGAAAGATTTATTTTTTTTTTTAAGAAAGCCAAATTAGATATTTTAATGAAAATTTTACTTTTCAAGCAAGTTTACCTCCTTTGGGAAATAGAATTGTGCACTTTCCCTAGGGGGAGACGGCAAGAAATGAGATGTAATTGAATGCTAGGTTCTCTAGAAATGCTTAATAATATTAATCCAAACATTCTACAGAACATAAATTTATTATAGAGATTCCTTTTACAATCACAGTGAGGCCTGACTTTCCTCAGAGAGAGACACGCGGACACAAAGGCAGGCAATTAGACCAATCATTTCTAGATATTTGTTAAATTGCAGACTTTGTTAGAATAATTAAGATGTGAAGAACTGGGGTTATTAAGACCAAAACAAAACAAAAACAAGTATGTTTAGAACATCTTGGAAAGAAATGTTACTTTTAAATCTATACTATCTAAATGAACTCCTTCTCCCTCTCATCTCTGGCTAAGTAATTGGCAGTTACTAACAAGAATTTGACCTTTCTGCTTCCATCCAGCCTGAGTAATTAGAAGTCTAATAATAGACAGCAAATTTAAAAAATTATCCCCTGTGCATACTGTACCCCACATCACATAAAACAGTTTATACCCATTGACTGTATCTTGAGTGTATTTAATCTAAAATCTTGGATGTAGTAATAAGTGGAAGCTTGCAGAATCGTTCGCCTTGAGCATACATTTAAAATTTGACAACCTAGAGAACATTAAATGTGGAGCAATGGCCCTTACTTTAAATGGCCACTTATCAAAGTCACAGCTTCTCACAGCCAACTCTCAGGTGTCTTCCTAATTAACAAACCAATTATGTTTTAGTTCTAATAAAAAAAAAAAGTAGGTATTTAAACATTTCCACATGGTAACTGGAACATTCTCAGAACTACAGAAAAACAACAGTGTGACATCAAGACCGTGAAAAAAACATGCTAAGTTCAGTCAATAGGATAGTGGGACTGCTTAGTAAACGTTTTAGCTTCTTACCAACTAGCCAGGTATCAGAGGAGTCAATTTTTAAAAAGTATACTCTGGCGGTTTAGTGATTAGGCTCCCCCTGATTGAAGAGTCCTCCGCGTGTGCTAACAACCTTAACCTTTAAAAATATCACAAACTGAACACCTGACAAGAATCCACAGCACACAAGAAATGAAGAAAATGTGCTCTTAGAGGAAAAAAAGATGTTCGGATGCGGGAAATGTAGCCAAGGACCACCCGCTGGAGACGCCCTTTTGTGCACAGCTCAGCCAGCAGTGCCCACCAGCCTCTCTGTGGTCTGTACTATTCTTATCCCCTTCACGGGGACCTGGGTGTTCCCTCCTACTCTAATGATCTTTGTTTAGGATGCTTATGCCTATTTAAAACACACAACTAAATGTGTTTTAAATAAAACTTCTCATTTTAGACAGTTTAGCCTCTATCATGCTTTGTAATCACAAGATGGCCATTTAAAAGCCATCAGCAAAGATTTATGGAGAGTATACTGCACTGAACGTGTTCTAAGGAGGCATACGCATAAATAAAAGACATAATCGTGCCCCCCCCCCCAGCTTACACTTTAGTTGGGAATTCAGGACATAAACATATTAAAAGATAGTTATAGGGCCAGGCATGGTGGCTCACACCTATAATCCCAGCACTCTGGGAAGTGGAGGTGAGCGGATTCCTGGAGCTTATGAGTTTGAGACCAGCTGAGCAAGAGTGAGACCCTGCCGCTATTAAAAATAGAGAAACTAGCCAGGCATGGTGGTGCATGCTTATAGTCCTAGCTACTTGGGAGGTTGAAGCTAGAAAGATTGCTCAAGCCCAAGAGTTTGAGGTTGCTGTGAACTATGATGCCACAGCACTTTACCCAGGGGACAGAGTAAGAATCTGTCACAACACAAAAACCAAAAAAAAAAAAAAAAAAAGAATGGTTATATATAACAATGGGAGAAATAAAATAAATGCTTATTAATCTAAGAAACATTACTAAGCATGGACTATGTGTGTAGGAAAGTGCTGAGTGCCATCAACAAGGACATACATAAAGGGAGGATGAGATTCAAATACATACCATCTAATTTGTAAAGCATCCTGTAGACATTTACAAAGCTTTCTCATTAAATATCTTTATGTTAAAAACAAGGTAACAAGTTTGAGTGAGCAACAGTACCCACAGCCTGCCTGTGCAGACCTCAAAGCCATAGCCTAGAAGAAAAGAAGACAGGGCAGGCTGGGGTGGGAACATGCCTAAAGTTAGCACCCAGAGGGAAGAACGCTGACAGGTGGAGAGACATACACCAATGAGAAACAGTCTCTGCTCTTAACAAGTTCACAGTAAGGGAGACAAGACGTATGTGAACACAATATTACAAATCAGAATGTGGCAAATATCAAAGTGGTAATTAGGGGACACCTAAGAAAAGACTTCTCAGAAGGGACATTTGAGTTGGTCCTTCCAGCATGGAGAGGATTGGAACATACACAACCTACTAGAAATGTGGTCTAGGTCTACTCCAGTGATTTTCCACCAGTGTGCCACGAGAGGATCTTAAGGATGCCATGCAAAATTTTAAAGATCACTAACTAAATTATTTTTGAAAGAAGTTCAAAGCATAGTAAGTATATTCTTTTAAAGTTGAACTATAGGTTTAAGTGTGCTGTGAGATAAAAAAAAGCTTGAAAAACACTGATGTAGTCCCTTATTTCTTAGAGCCTTAGTTCCTCTATAAAATGAGAGAAAGTCAGTGATAAATGACCATAAAGTACTACAGGAATCTACTACAACCCCAAAGAATCCAGGATGCTACTTTGATTTAGGAAACAGTCACTTACCAAAACCTATAACGATTTAGGAGCGATTAGGAGCACTT